GAAAATGTTAACTCCAACCTAAATAATGGATAGGTTTTCTGTAAACCACTTGCTTTCTGAGAGAATTTGCCAGTAGCCTTCGTTGGTGGCATGTTTTAAAGTTATGAAAGGCTAGCAGACATTCAGTTCTTGCCCTTATCAAAATTTAGTTTCAGGTTCCTTACCTCGTGCAAAAACTTCGTTATCCCCACCTGCTCCCTGCTCAAACCACTTTGTGAACTTCTCATGTGTGAAGTACATGGAATATACACTCACAGAAGAAATCATGTTGCAGTCAATATAGGTTACTGCTCACCATTATCATTAAGAGAGTTGCAATCTGACCCTAAATTAGTTATAAATGAATTCTTTTAATTTAGTAAATTTGCTTCCCCACATTTAATTTTTCTTGAAATGTGCTTCAGTAATCAAACTAATTGAAAAAATGTTTAATCAAAACTTGATTCCTGAGGTTCTGTTCCTACTTGTGCTTGTTTGTGAGGATAAAAGATGATAAATGGATGTCATAACAGCCTAAGGAAACATGGATTTCTCTGCGCTATCCTTTACAACCCATCTTCACTGCTGGGAAAATCCCGTTAAAAACACAACTACAAATCAAGTCACTGCTTTGTGCCTAGAAGCCCCGGACTTCTACATCACCCAGGGCAGGCACTTTCCTGAACTAAGCAGGGTTGTAGTGCAGGTGCTATGCCCATACAGTGAAAACCATGAACTATCACTTGCTATTTAACTCTGCTGGGGGCTATTTTGGTTGGATGGGGCTTACTTGACTTCTTCAATGGTCCGGTGTCAGTGCGGAGAGAGCATTCGGTCAGTGGTGATGGGGCTGAGAAGCGGGCAGTCCTCCTGGAAGCTGGTGTTACTGCTGACTTTGATTCTGTTATGCTTGGGCTGCTGTTCATGCTAAAGTTTATTCATCTGCTTATCATGCATCTGCATCTCTTCAGAGCATCTTATAACACTGCTTTTTCAGACTTCCATGTTTCTGTTTCTTTGCCCCTGACATGTTAAGCTAGGTCAGAAACAGCTGACTTTGAGTTTGGTTTTAGACAGATAAATAGCTGTAATCCACAGCAAAAGGTGGCGGTGTGCTGATTTTAATCAAGGCACTGTGGTTATTTCTGGAATGTGAAACAGTCTGTAAAAGACTGTCTTGAAGTGTGTGTGAAACCCATAATAATTCTATTTACTGGAGAGTTAAGTATGGCGTTTCACTTCTGGAAGCCTTGCCTCAAAATAACTGCGGACATGAACTGAACTGTTTTCAGCTGCGCTCTTGTCCTCCCTAACTAGTGAATATTGGTTGATCCTAGTAAGATGAAGCAACAAGCTTTTAAAGAGTCTAGATTTTCAAGCATCTAAGCCTGAAAGTTATTATACATCACATCTAACTTGGAATTGTTGCCCCACTATTGTGTTAGGCTCATCTACAGAAAAATAACAGTGCAAAAACTGGCAAAGGAACAAAAAAAAAAAACTGGAAAAATGAGACAGACAAGCGACAACCACAAACTTGCTCACAAAACCCTCTTCTAACTTCTAGCCTACTTGATGATCAAGAAGGCACCTCATATAATGATAATAAAATGACCTTCTGCTGTAGCTTTTTTTCTCTGTGGACAGATAACAAGCTGCATAAGGAGATCTCTAGCCTGGGGCCATTCTTGGATTCTGGAATATGATCTTTTATGGTAATAACACACATAATTTGTGTGTAACTTCAGTTGTCATGGTAGCTGGCAGCACTGTGAGAGTGCACATGCATATGTTCTCTTTCAGCAAGCAGAAATGCTTTTATATCGCCTTCAAACTACAGAAGAGTGCACCCCCCGTGCGGAGGGGTTCCCCTTTCCCCATGCTGCATGCACATGACTTGCACTAATGCTGGTGGCAATTGCACACACCCACTTGAGACCAGACCCCAGGGAACAGGAGAATTAATAGAAGTTATTCTATTTCTGCAAGTCTCCTCCACACCAGAAAAGTCTCGCCATTGCTTTTAAAGAATAAAAAGAAAATACTTATAAATCGTCATTAATGCAAAAATAAACAGTGGTCCAGGTAATTCTTTTCCTGTAAAACTTCAATCAGGATAACTGCAATGCTGTGCAAAGCAGCCTGCGTGCTAGGGGGGGATGGTGCATTCTGCTTAGGATTTTTATTTCATGGATATGGTCTCTGTCCATGGTCTGCATTAGGCATCTCTTTCAATATGACTCAAGAACAACAACAAAATTTTAAATTATGATTTTGAAATAGCCTTTGCATTCCAGAAAGCTGTTATTTTCCGTCATCCATTTGGAGAGCACCTACTGGTTTATGCTATACTGCTCTTGGTAAAACCCTGAACTGCACAAGTTTATATCCAAAGGCTAAGAAAGCTTATTAATGAGCATAGGGGTGTGTAAAGCTTCTAGACTATCTGATGGGAAGTTTCTCATTGCTATTTGACTATGCACTGCTGCCAGATTGGAGCGCACATTGCATTTGGAGCATATTTTTTATTCAACAGAATTTGCGACTGACCAGTAAACAGACGCTCTATTGATCCTTTTCAGAAGATGCCATACATTTTTAGATACCAATCTGTAAACTGTTTCAAAACACTACACCTTCTCTTACATTGAATAAAAGAAAAGTCTTCCCATTTGTTAATTTTTGTGCTGTCCAAACTCAGTATTTTTTCAAAAAAGAGGGGTGTACAAATATAGAGGATTTTGTTTCCTACTTACACCAGATTCCTTCTGCCATAAGGCTAGATTTTGCTTTGAGTGTTGTCAGTCTGCATATTTCATAAGGTGGTGTACCAACCTGACTTGAATGATGGTGGGGTTTCGTGGTATATCTTACTTCAGCTCACACATAATTAAATTATATTTCTTCCTGTCTGAATAAGCACTATATTGTAACAGATTCATAATTAAGGGAGCACATGTCAGTATTTCAATTTTGTTGCTTAGCTCAGTAAAATATCAGTTTTGATGAGGTAAAGAGAGAAAATTGTAAAAGTGGGAGTGGGAATCAAACGTTAAAAGTATAGAAAAGCTGTTCTTTTCAAATGCCACCCAATAATATATGTTGCACTCTCAAGTTATTGGAACACAGCTTGGTCAAAACAAGCTCATGTACTGAAGAAAACCAAATAAAATATTTTTCCCCCTTTTTCTTTGGAAGACAGTCTCTTGAATGAATGTCACAGATGCATGACTAAATCTGGAATGCCTTTTTTTCCCAGGAAAACTCTGAAATTAGGCAAAAAGTTGTAGGAGAGTTGTCAGGTTGGCCTGAGCAGTCTAACAATCTTGGACATGGAACAGGTGATTGACTGAAGAACTGGGGATATTCTGAGTATCTCTCATGGAGAATGAATATACTCTGCTACAAACTACTGAACTGCCTAAATCTGAAGAAATCTTCAGATAAGTGAAAGATGCACAGGTATTGATCAAAGTATGATAAAGCTAAGGAAAAATTCCAGCAGCATTTCAAGACAGTGATGAGCAAAGTTACAGGACAGTACAGGAAGGAAAGCCAACCTGACAGAACTGCAGGTAATGGAGAGACAGGGCAAAGAACAGGGATATTTTTTTATTCTCAAATTAGATGTCACGTGTACGGTGTAGAAAAAAATCCTAATAGAAATGTTACATTTCTTTAAGTCCACTGAATCTTTGGCTCGGATGCCAACTTGGGTCCCCAGCCAAAATTTTCACCTACAAGCATCTAAGTATGTAATACCAAAATCTATATTTAGGTCTCTAAATAAAAATGACCTGGATTAGAGAGTTAGCTCCACCTGAAGTTTCTTTAACTCTGCAGAGAAGTCAGTACTTCAATTTAAAAACACTGAAAATTAGGCTGTCTGGCAAGACACAAGACATTTATCTTTAGTACAGCTTGTTTTTGTGGAACAAGAAGGGAGGACAATAGCAAAAAAAATAATTGTTGTTCTTCCTCTTTTCAACCTCTAGGCTGCTGTTTTAAGTGGCACCAGACTGCAGTTCACAGGCAAGAGAACTGTGGCTTCAAAATATAAGATTTGCAGTCATGTAGCTTTCCTCCTTGGTCCTTGGTAGGCACAATTACACCCATACTACATCTACATTGTGTTGTCATGTGTGTGTGTGCATGTGTGTACTAGCACAGCACATTTCAGACTTTTATTAGTTGAGTGACAAAACTGCACGAGTGTTATGCAAATCATCCTTAAAGTCTGGAACATTTCATTGAAACATATATATGTGTGTGTTTATACATATGTAGATTGCTTATATGTACACACATACATACAGTTTATGGTTCATGTAATGTTGAGAGAGAAAAAGAAACATGGCACTGAGCAAAGCAAAAATGTGCTTGGATAACATTGCTTCTGATACAGAACCCTTTTTGTGAAGTCCCTCCTTTCATACTTGTACAGACTTGTCTCAATGTACCGGGGAGATTCAGCCAGTTTTACCTCTTCTTTTTTTTCCTTGTAACTATTAGGTGATGGATGGTCATTAGAAGGCTATGTGCTGCTTGGAGTATTTTTTAGCTGCACAAACCCTATTTTTTTAAGAGCCAGTGGTGGGAGAATGATATCAGCCCTGAGCCCTGGGGTTTCCATCCAGCTATATTGGGAGTTCCTAAGGAGACAAGCTTATGGAAAAAAGGGGAAGTGAAATAAGATCAGAGTTTTCTCTACCCTCACTGGTTTCTTTCAGTCTTGGTTAGCCAAGTCAGCATGCTCTCCTCTCATGGGGATCCAGCTTCAGGCTGGGAAACAGTCTGAAGCTGAAATGGATGCATTTTCCAGTGACTTGGCACATATAGTCTGTCGTTAGAAATTAGAAGACACTTTTCTTCTTTTCCTCTTAAACTGCTTGTTACCTCTGAGGAAGTAGTCTTGATTTTTATTTCCCAAACAAGATCAAAGGAATCTGATCCCCCTCTCTCCCTCCTTCCCTCTTCCCTGTTTTTCAACATGTTCAAAAAATAGTAAAGAAGGTACGTACGGGGTTCAGGAGAATAGTGAGGAAGAGTTCACCTCCCCGGATACTTTTGTCCAGCTCATGAGGACCCCCAGGATATTCCTTGTAAAAAATAGTATGAGTGAAAAGGCCACAGGTCTGTCGAGGGAGCACCTGAGAACAAAATAACAGTGCTGTTGTGAAGTTAACGTATTTCTGCAGACTTACCCTGTCACATCTACCCTCCAGCAACTCAAAGAAACAAAACCACAACCCTTTCTGCCTCTGTGCTCTGGTGTCTTTATTTGTGGGCTCCCCTGTGTCCCCTGCCTCTCAGGGTAAGCAGGCACAGTCCTGCAGATGGGATTTCCCCATGCTGGCTGAAAAGCTTGCTCCCTTAGCAAGGTTAGTTTATCAACAGATAAATAGTGCTTCCTGGCCACTGTTTCTGTCTCAGGCAATTAATCTTACTGGTCTTGAGACCTGGAACCGAATTTGTAGTCAAGGCTGCAGACTGCAAGAGACCTCTTGCTTCATGCTTTCCCCAGTCCTGAGAACCATACGAAACCCCTCACTGCTGTTGGTGAAATGTGCACGGGACTGGTGGGATTCTCACAGGAGACCAGTCTGTGGTCAGCTCTGTCGTAAACCTAGAGGCTGCGTGGCAGAAACCAGGGATCTTACAGATGTGGGAAAACAAACTCATCTTGGAGAACTAGATATTTCAGTTACAATATTAGCTAGGTATTGTCAATGGGCTGTGGTACAGCAAGTAAAGACAACAACTGTCAGGGCTTATGGATACTGCCTAATACAAACAGAGAGAAAAATCACCTGGGGAAGGGCTTTTGTTTCCCTCCAGTCGGTGCTTTCATTTTTCTGCTCAGTTAAAACAACAAATAAAATGCTCTGCTGAATGTAGGTTTTAATACATGTGAAAATACACTGCTGAATTTGAGTCAATAGCTCAACAGTTGGACTCTGCAGCTGAACTGGAGTGCAATAGTAATTGGACTCTGTGCAGTAACTTCTCATTTTTGATTAAGATGTTTCTTTGTTTAGGGGATCACAATTTCGACTTTATACACATAAGCAATATTCAAGTCATCTGGGACTTTAAAACATCCCAGGACCTTGCAATATTTCTAGCTTAAGTCATGCATCTTCCACTATTGCAATTGTGTTTCACCTACCTATAGGGTTGCAGCTGGCTGGTAGGAGGGGCCAGATAATTTTGTACATTTGATTCCTGCCTTTCATGCAGTTGAAGTGTGTGTGTGAGGAGCCTTCTCTCCTCATGCAAGTGCATGGTCTGGAAGAGTCAGGCTCGTGTCCAGTCCCTGGGTCTGGGAACAAAGCTCTGAAGGAAACCTTGGTCTCAGAGAAGTGCTGCATGTGCTGGAGGAGACTGCTTACACCTGGTCACCTTCCCAGGTGGTGGATTTCTAATCCTTTCATGCATAAAGATGAACCAGAATGTGAAACATAGGTCTTAGGCAGTTTAATGAATTTCAGAGAATGCATTTATAGCTCGGTGGATTGGACTACAAGCACATCCAGTTTCTGAGGATTACATTTGCAGTCGCCTGGGTTTGTGTGACTGTTTTTTTCAAACTGCCTGCATAACAAATGTACTATTTTGGCATCCTTACAAATCCTCGATCACAGAGAATTTTAATGATTGCTGTAAAACTTGCAGCATTTGGTAAAAATAACATACTTTTGAGTCGCTTAAAGTACTATTGCTATGAAGCATGGAAATGCAGTGTACCATGATGCCATTGTGGATGAAGCCCCGTCTGTACCGTGCAGGCTTCAGGTGTGGGTATTCTTCTGTGCTGGTCACTCGGATGTGCCAGACCTTCTTCCAGGCCTCGTACAGCTGGATGTGAACCGGGTAGACCCCGGAGTGGTGCGGAGCCACTGCGTACCCCATGTCAGTCGGTATGCCGTGCTCCTGCGACACAGCAGAGGGAGGAATACATTTAGAAACAGAAAAAGAACATGTAATTATTCAAAGTTTATTTTTCCTTCAGGCTGCAGCATAGGAGAAGCTGTTGTCCTTGGACAGACTCCTATCTATTTGTATGTAGCACAAGCTACAAATGGGGGAGAGATGAGGGGAACTGGAATTACATTTTGATAACTGCAGAGTGATAAATAGTCCTCTTGGATTATGTTGTGTTACTGTTATATGGAACAGATTTGCCTGCCTGTTCATTACACATTGTGTGTATTTTAATATACATCCTACCTGGTTGGTTCTTTTTAAAGGTAATCCAGTAAGCTGACGCTGCTTATTTAGTAAGCTATCAAACAGCATTAGAGCAGTAAAGAGAAGGGAAAAATTGCTGTAGTGACATATACGGGATTTTTTGTTTCATATTTCTAGAATAAGAGCAAGATTCCTACCTAGCTTAAAAAAATATCCCCCGTAGCTTCTGAATCTGCTTATATTTTTCCATGATACTAAGGTAGTAGCAAAAAAAGCTGGACTTTGATGGATATCCTTTTAATTTCACAAAAATATTTATTCAGTTTCATTTCTATTTTCATCAATATAATCTATAGGTTATCTTGAAAATATCTTCCAATGGCACAATTAAGTAGTTGATGTACAGACAGAAAGAACTAAAGATGTTTAAATGAGAGCGTGCTGATCTGCCAGGCACGTTCCCTTTGTTCCTGATGCTCTCCTCCCTTGGTTCTGCTCCTCATCTCTCCCGCTCCTGCCTTCATGTGGGCTGTCTGAAAGCCCCATCTGATGACGATGCCTGATAACCACATCCATAGACTAGCACATTTTTAATAGAGAGAAAATAATTTGAAGAGTAAACTATCCATGTGACAATGAGATAGCCAGCTTCCTTGGTCCAAGTGACTACTTGGAAACGCACCCAACGTTTGTCACCAGCTCTCGGCAGGAAGGAGGGCTGTGCCCTGTCTCTTCTCCCATCTGCGGGGCTCGTTTCCAGCAGGTCCAGTAAGAGCCCTTTTCAGCTCTCCCACAGCATTGCCAGACTGCAGGGCCTGCCACTGATGTGGTTGTCACTGGATCTGGGTGTTTACTGGATTCATTTTGCTCCCAGTATGGCGTGGTGTGGGGTAATGCTGGATGAGTGAGCTGGCCCCCGTCTTGCCCCACATGGCCATGACTGGCCAAGCCTTCGCTTCAGCTCTGGGCTCTCCAATGCCTCCTCTCCTTTGCTGCTCTGGGGCTCACACAAAGCACTTCCTTCTCCTGCCGGGAGAGCTGCTAATTCCCAGGATACATCAGCTGTTTTCTGCTCATATAAAATTGATGTTCAGAGGGAAATGGCTAAAATATGAGACAATGATTTCTTTTTTTTGTCCTCTTTCTTGCCCACATTATCCAAGAACTGTTGATTAATTCCAGGAACAGAAGGTCCTGCTGGGCATCTTAAAGCACTTTGCAAAGAAAGGCTTTTGGTTCATTGACAAAAATTAAGTTAAATCTGCGGGGAATACTTGTTCATAGATCACATAATGCAACCACTTAAAATTGTCCATTCCTTATTAGTGAAGATCTCAAGTTACAGTCTGATCTTGAAGAAGAGAAACCCAAACTCACTGTTTCATGATTTACTGAGAGCAAAATGAAATTGCTGCTTATAAATGTTTTTACCTATCTGAAAGGCATGAGTCAGTTTAAAGGTGAAATGAAGAATAACTCTATAACTCTATAATAGCTCTCATCTATTTTTTTTGCCATAAATGTGTATAAAGGAAAAAGCTGTATCTAAAGGTTTCTGAAAAATCTGGCCACTTATTACTCTGCCTGAGTAGGCTATGATGTTCACACTGACAAATATACTGCGTTAACTTAAATATACTGTGTTAATTTAAATATACTGTGTTACCTTGAATTTACAAGCCTTCACCAAACCTGTGTTAGGGAGTATACAAACACATGACTCTAATGCAAATGTGTCTCAAGCTAGATAATGAACTCTGCATTGAATGATTTGTCCAAAAGTAGGTACCTGGATGAATACATGCAAAACCCTGTTTATCTACTTGCTGCTGTTATTGCCATAGCAACAGAATGGTGAAATGGTAATCTACCATTCACAAATAAAATAAGGCAGCTTTTCATAAGTTCTCAATAGAAAAAGCTAATTAGCTTCTGAATAAAACCTGCACGCTACATAG